CGGCCGAGGCCGCGCGGCGACTCCAGACACAGCAGGGACAGCACCCTCAGCAGCAGCACCAGCGCCAACCGCACCTCCAGCGGGAGGACCTCCAGCAGCACCAGCAGCACCCGCAGCAGGGCCACCGCCAGGAAGGACAGCAGCAGTCTCAGCACCAACACCCGCAGCAGCTCCAGCTCCAGGCGGACCCGAGGGCCCAGCAGCTCCGGGACCAGCGGCACAAGTACCCTCAGCAGCCGAAGGAGCTCCAGCTCCAGCAGTACGTCTCCAGCGGCGAGCAAACCACTCGCGCAGCTCCTGTGGAGAGAGGGGCTCCCGCCGAGGCGAAGCACCCGGAGAACCGCCAGGTCCCGCACCGCCAGACGCCACAAGGGGAGGTCCAGTGGCCGCAGGCTCCGCAGCTCCAGGCTCAGCAGCTCCAGACGCAGCACCCCCTGGCTCAGCACCCCCAGTCGCAGCACCCCCAGGCTCAGCACCCCCAGACTCCGCACCCCCAGGCGCAGCACCCCCAGTCGCAGTACCCCCAGGCTCAGCACCCCCAGACTCAGCACCCCAAGGCTCAGCACCCCCAGGCTCAGCACCCACGCGCGTAGCACCCCCAGAGTCAGCACCCCCAGGCTCAGCACCCGCAGCAGGACCAGAGTCACCAGCAACCTCGACCGGCTCGACCGCGTCTACCTGGGACACACCTGAAGGGGCAGGACCCTGAGGGGGAAGGGGGTCTACCGGGGGGGGACCTGGCACAAGGAAGTGCGGTGGCGGGGGGAGGGAAGGAGTGCGGTAGGGGAAGAGGCGGTAGAAGGGGACTGACTCGTCGAACGTGACGTCCTGGGAGGACAGAACACGACGAGAGGAGGGGTGGTAGAACTGCCACCCTGGGGCGTCAGGGGGGAAGCCGAGGAAGACACAGGGAGCAGCACGAGGGGACAGCTTGTCCGCAGACAAGTCGCGGACAAACGCCCGAGATCCCCAGACACGGAACGCAGACGCATCGCCGACCTTCCCCGTCCACAGCAGAGCTGGGGAGGTCTCCGGCCGGGAGACCCTGGGGTGAAGGTTGATCTGATGCGCCGCGTACCGAACCGCAAACGGCCACAGAAAATGGGGGGCAGCCGCATGCATCATGGACGTACGAGCGACGTCCATGACCATGCCAATGCGGCGCTCAGCAATCCCATTTTGCTGTGGAGAGTCCGGAAGCGTAAAGGTCTGGCGGATGCCTCGTGCACGACAGTAGGCTCGCAGAAGGCCAGAGGAGAACTCTCCACCTCGGTCAGAGTGCAGACGCAGAACAGGAAAGTCCGAGCCGAAGCTCCTCCTGAGCTGGAGACGAGCTGCGCGGATCCAGTCGATCAACACCTCAGTGACATCACCCTTGCTGCGCAAGGGGAAGACTGTGGTGTAACGCGAGTAGTCGTCAACCACCAGCAGGAAGTAGCGCTCGTGACCCTGCCCACGGACGCGGGCCGGGCCCCACACGTCCATGTGAAGCGTCTGCAGAGGAGCCTCTGTCGGGGGAAACTGGGAGGAGTGAGGGGCAGCCCGGAGCCGCCCCTCGACACAGGGGACACAGGAAGGTCCGGGTCCCGAAGGAAGGGGAGGGAGAGACCGGGGAAGACCAGAGACAAGGACACGGGAAGCCATGCCCCGAAGACGAGGCAAGGAGGGGTGGCCAAGACGGTGGTGCCACAGGAGGGTCTCCTGAGACAGGCGGCGACACGAGCAGGGGGCAGACTCAGGACCAGACCTGGACGCAGCAGCAAACACCTGACCCGCCGCAGCTACCTGGCCAGACGCAGGGACAGGAGGAGACTCAGTGGTCAGGGTGTAGAGACTCGACCTCGGCCGACGCGAAAACGTGGCCAGGTGTCGGCCTGTGCGGGCGTCCGAGCAGTGGGTCACCCGCTGACTCGCAGGAGTAAACTGGTGAACCCCCGCATCCTGCAGGTCAGCACCACTCACCAAGTTCGTCGAGAACGAGGGGAGGTACAGACCAGACAAGGTGCCCGAGGGGGCAGCCGGACACGGGAGGACAGTGGAGAAGTGAGAGAGGACAGGACCCCCAGAGGGGTCAGCCAGGGAGACTGCAACCGGCCGGCCAAGCGGCGTGAGTGTGGTGCGGTCTCGAAAGAAGGAGCGAGAAGCCCCTGAGTCAAGCGTGAAGGTGAGGGAGGCCGAAGCCGACGCAGTACCTGAGAGCGCAGCCTCACCAGTACCTGAGAGTGCAGACGCACTGGCACCTAGAGCAGCAGCCGCAGAAGTACCTAGCGCAGCAGTACCAATGCCCAGGTCGGGCGGGAAACACCGGTAACAGTCACCCTCCTCACTAATAGTCACAGCATACATGGCAGCAAGGATAGCATCAAAGTCAAGATCAAAGATAGCTACGCCAGCCCTAGACAGCTCTCCCCAACGGGGAATCTCACCAGCCTCGGGGAACTGCTGACGCCAAGCGTCCGTCAGGCGGCCAAAGCAGCGCTGGGTGGGGTGGGCACCCCCACACTGCTCACCCGCGCGGTCGCCGGAACGAAGGACGTAGGTGCACGGACCAAAACCCCCACCCCGCTGACGCTGCGTGTACCACTCACGGAGCTGCTGGGGCGGGGGGATGTCCCGCGAACGCTGCTGCTGCTGCTGCTGCTGCTGACGCTGGCCACCACCAGAGCCGCTACGCTGCGGGGCACCACCCCGACCAGCTCCACCCCCTCCGCCACCGCCGCCTCCACCTCCACCACCACCGCTGCCTCCGCTCCCACCGCTGCCGCTACCACCGCCTCCTCCTCCGCTGCTGCCACCGCCACCACCGCCCCCGCCACCACTCCCACCGCCACTCCCACTCCCTCCGCCGCCTCCACCGCCACCTCCACCGCCCCCTCCAGTTCCACCCGCGCCCTTGCCCCCCTTGCCCCTGCCAGGGCGGCGTCTCCCGCTAGGGGCAGACGCCGCGCAGACCGACTCAAGACCAAGCAGGTCGGCAGCAGCAGCAGAGGCAACAGAGGGCAGCAGGGGGGAAGGAGAACACCCCTCAAAGATGGGGGTGCGAGGGTCACCACGAGAGGCTCCTACAGCGACGATGCTCTTCTCCGCCGCCAGGAGGGACTTCTCGAGGAGATCGACAGTGAGAGTGGTGGGACAGACTGAGAGGAAGTGGTCCCTGACTACGTGAAGGGAGTCAGGGAGGCGTGTGACTATGTAATAGAGAGTGATGTACATGGGGGGGGGGGGTTCTTGGCGCAGAACTCAGCAGGAAGGGCGGCGCGGTAGCGAGTGTCACTAGTGCGGAGGTGCGTAATGAGGTCAGCGACAGTGGGAAAGGCAGCAAGGTCAGGAAAGAGGTACGGTAGCATGAGGCGGCTCAGGGCAGCAGTGGCAGGGGAAGAGTAGCGCGCAACTACAGCGTCGTACAAGGTCTGAGCACTCTTGTACTGACTAAAGTGCGCGCGCTCAGTGGTAGGCAGGTGGCGACGCACAGCAAGACGTGCAGCAGCATCGCGGGTGGCCCACTGAGAGCGAACAGTGGGGTCAGCATCAGCAGCAGGGGCAGGAGAGGCGCCAGAGGTGAGGTCAAAGAGGGAAAGACCGTCCGTCCTATCGCACTGTAAGAACAGCTGCAGGTCGTCGACCCAGACCTCAAAGTCAATGGCTCGACCCTCAGCGTCAAAAGCGAGGACACTAGGGGTAGCCATGACGACGACAGTGTAGCAGTGCAAGCAGTAGGGGAGGGGCACGCAGTAACAGTGGTGCTGTGCTCACCAGGCAGGGCAGGTCGGGCGGCTCGGCAGTAGGGCGGCCCGGCGGCTGGGCGGCTCGGCGGCTCGGCTGCTGGGCGGCTCGGCTCCCGGGCGGCTCGGCGGCAGGGCGGCTCGGCGGCTCGGCTCCCGGGCGACTCGGCGGCAGGGCGGCTCGGCAGCAGGGCGGCTCGGCTCCCGGGCGGCTCGGCTGCTGGGCGGCTCGGCGGCAGGGCGGCTCGGCGGTCGTAGGCGGCGGGGCCGGTGAGGATAGGCGGCGGGGCCGGTGAGGATAGGCGGCTGGGCCGCGAAGTGGGGCGGCGAGGCCGCGAAGACAAGGGCGGCGAGGCCGCGTAGGTGAGGGCGGCGGGGCCGCGAAGTGAGGGCGGCGGGGCCGCGTAGGCAAGGGCGAGGCCGCGACGTGAGGGCGGCGAGGCCGCGAAGGCAAGGGCGGCGAGGCCGCGTAGGTGAGGGCGGCGGGGCCGCGAAGTGAGGGCGGCGGGGCCGCGAAGGTGAGGGCGGCGGGGCCGCGTAGGCAAGGGCGGCGAGGCCGCGTAGGTGAGGGCGGCGGGGCCGCGAAGTGAGGGCGGCGGGGCCGCAACGTGAGGGCGGCGGGGCCGCGCAGGTGAGGGCGGCGGGGCCGCGTAGGCAAGGGCGGCGAGGCCGCGACGTGAGGGCAGCGGGGCAGCGACGTGAGGGCGGTGGGGCCGCGTAGGTGAGGGCGGCGCAACGGGCCGCTAGGGGCGACACGGAGGGTCGCTAAAAAAAAAGAAAGCGCGCCTCGGGGCGCGCTTCGGTGGGCCCTAGAAACAGTCCCTAGGAGGGGACCTGCTCTGATTCCATGAGAAAAGGAGAAAGCGAATGGATGAACTATGAATGAAGTGAGTACATATAGGAAACCCTAATTGGGTTGTACCCCCTATGGGATACCCCACTATAGCCTACACAACAGCATAAGCTATATATATGTTCTGACACTAAATAGCTTTAATGCTTACAGCCAACACTTCAGGAGACACACAGTTTCGGAAAAGGTGTTGCTGAAACTTGATGATGTTGCTGTAAAAGAGTACACAAAACGTACAGTGTGTTTGTATCAAAAGTTAGAAACGCATACATTCAAATCAGAAGTAGAAGCATTAAAAAGTTGAAATATTGAATATGATAGTTGTGACACAAATATGCACTGAATAGAATTCACAATAAATGCATTGGTAAACATAGTCAAACATCATATTACAACCTTGGTATGCTGAACAATCTGACACGATTTCAAGTGATGCTGATAGTGTGAATCAGTTCTGGTTTTCCCTGCTGAGATGAGTAACAGAATAAAGAAGAATATCAAAATCGAAAAAAAAATGTGTGAAGCAGTAATATTAGCAAATCAACAATTTCACAATCTTACCACAAAATAATCAACTGGAGACTTTGAAACTCGGTGCAGCCTAAAGTCAAGATGCTGATGTAAACCTATTGTTGATGTCTGATAAAAGAAACACGTTCAAGAAATAACAAAAAGAAGAAAATTATACAAAGTACAGAACATGCAACACTGGTATACTAGTATACCAGAACAATGGAGTAGCAGAATTCAAGGAACAAAGAAGTCAAAACATGTGGATAATAAATACATACAAGAATTGAGCTCAACTTTCATCTAGATAGGTAAACTATAAATTCTGACACTGTGAAAAGTGATGAGAAATGGAGTAGCAGGAAGAGTTTGAAACAGAGCCTCATATCTTCATCAAAACAACCAAAACCGTAACTAAGAAAATAAAATATCTCAAGTCACTTAACATGGAGCAAGAGTAAATTAAGAAGAATTATCACTAGGTAGGTACCTTGGTGTGAGGTGTTGAGCTTGGTGTGAAGTGTTGAGCTTGGTGTGAGGTGTTGAGCTTGGTGTGATGTGTTGAGCTTGGTGTGAGGTGTTGAGCTTGGAAAGAGAGCTTCAATGTCTTGAGCTTGGTGTGAGGAAGAACAATGAAAAAGTTCTAGGGTTTGGTGTGAGCAAGAGAAGGATGGGAAAGAAAGGGAAAGGTAAGGCTTTGGGATGGGATAAGATGAAGAGTCTCTCTTGATTGGACACAAAGTTGACCAATGGTAAGAGACTCGCTACTGTGCACTGGAAACAAAAAAAACAGTTGGAAGCATTGAACTAGAAACAAAACAACCAGTTGAGCAATGCTGTTTGTTTTGTTTCTAGTTCATAGTCCATAGTCAATTTGTTGACAATTTACAGTTATAAAAGTTGTACAACTGTTTGTTTTGTTTCTACTTGAAAATCGTTTTAATTTTACAGTTACAACCGAAATATAGGACAAAAACAGTGCAGACGAACGACAACTGTCAGAAAAAAAAACAAAAACGTTAACAGTTACGACAGCCAGAATGACTACTTACGACAGCCAGAACAATCTGACAAAGAGGACCAAACGTTTTGTTTACGAAACCCCCCTCCACATTTCTCGCGACACCCCCCCTCCACATTTGAAGCTCGAGAAACACCACACTTCAGCAGTGTCGTCAGAAATTTCGATTGAATTTCTGGCGACGCTGCTGACGTCAGCAATATTTCTCGCGAGAAATAATGGCTGACGTCAGCAGCGACTTTCGAATTTTCGCGCTAATTTCGCTGATGACGTCATCAGCGAAGCTGAAAACCTGAAGCTAATGACGTCACCATCGATAAAGCTGACGTCAGCACCTTGTTTGTTAAAATAATGTTTTGATGTTAATGATACATCAACAAACATATGAGAATTGTAAACATAGAAACCAAACCTGCAACTACTCATGTAAACGTTCTTACTAATGTAGAAATGTCAGCCCTACCACGTATACAACGTCAATACGCAAATTCATTTAACAACATGAACTTAACATTCACATATACACATAAAAATGCAAGTATTTTTAATCTAAATACGACGAAGTAATCAAAGTCGTTCAAAAATCCTTTAGCATGTTACAATTGTTGCTTCGCAACCCTAAGACGATTTCGTCGCCTCTTGTTTTTTTTCAATTCCATGCCATCCTTTTAATCTCACTTGAGTCTCTATGGAATATCTGCGTTATAAGCTGCAGTAACTAGCATCCTCTACTGCTGAGTTGGTGAGATGCCGATTCTTCTTCACGAAAACACTCGCACTGACAGTAAGTTGCAACTGCCAGTCCAGCAGCTTGACATCTGAAGCAACTGGAGTTTTGTAAATGTCCACACAACTATTTCACGCACTAGCAAGGAAAGTTTGTATGAGGTGAGTCTTCAACCACATCACCAAACAACTCTGCATGTGTGGTGTCAGTGAGGCAGTCAGTCCGCTAGAGGCAAGTGCTTTTGGACCTGTGTGGACAGGACACAAGAATTAAGAGAGAGAGAGAGAGAGAGAGAGAGAGAGAGAGAGAGAGAGAGAGAGAGAGAGAGAGAGAGAGAGAGAGAGAGAGAGCGAGAGAGAGAGAGGGAGGGAGGGAGGGAGGGAGAGAGGGAGGGAGGGAGGGAGGGAGGGAGGGAGGGAGGGAGGGAGGGAGGGAGGGAGGGAGGGAGGGAGGGAGGGAGGGAGAGAGGGAGGGAGAGAGGGAGGGAGAGAGGGAGGGAGAGAGGGAGGGAGAGAGGGAGGGAGAGAGGGAGGGAGAGAGAGAGAGAGAGAGAGAGAGAGAGAGAGAGAGAGAGAGAGAGAGAGAGAGAGAAGGGAGGAACCATTTGAGGCACCTCAAGAGGCAGACGCTTTTGGCCCTGTTTTGACAGAAAACAATGATTGAGAGAGAAAAGGGAGGAAAAATATCAACAAAGAAACACCTTTGAGGTTGCTGACAAAGAGAGAAGAGGTGAAGTGCGATGAGAGGGAGAAAAGCAGGCAGGAAGGGCACGAAGGGCGAGAGAAGAGAAGAGGAGGAGGGAGGAACGGAGGCGGCGCGAGAGGGGTTGAGAGGATTGCCTGTTGAAGGAACTTGGCAAAAGCTGGGTGCGACTGTGCTGCTTCTAGTGCCTGGGGGAGCACAGTGAGGGGATGAGAGGGCATGAGGCCGTTAAGAGGTCATGAGGGGGTGGAAGGATGAGGTGATGGGGTGTTGAGAAAGTTGAGGGGCATGGGATAAGATAAGGCAAATGCGCATGGATGCACGGGTACAATGGGTACAGAGGTGCAATGTTGAGAATAACAAGGCCGGGATGCAAGTCCTAATGAGAAGAGACAAGAAATTCGAGCTGGAACTGGAAGGAAGAGGAGGAGGCGAGGAGGAGGAGAGGAGGAGGAGAGGAGGAGGAGAGGAGGAGGAGAGGAGGAGGAGAGGAGGAGAGGAGGAGGAGAGGAGGAGGAGGAGGAGGAGAGGAGGAGGAGAGGAGGAGGAGAGGAGGAGGAGAGGAGGAGGAGAGGAGGAGGAGAGGAGGAGGAGAGGAGGAGGAGAGGAGGAGGAGAGGAGGAGGAGAGGAGGAGAGGAGGAGGTGGAGAGGAGGAGGAGGAGAGAGGAGGAGGAGGAGGAGGAGGAGGAGGAGGAGGAGGAGGAGGAGGAGGAGGAGGAGGAGGAGGATGTGTAAGTGAGTGGCGGTACTGCTTCTGGATGCGACGAGCTGTCGATGAGAAGCAGCATGCGTTGCAACTCGTGGTCCCTCAATTGCTGCCTCAAGGCTGCATCGTCCGCTGTGAGGGGGATGGGGAAGAGTGAGAGGGGAGAGGGGAAAGGGGAGAGGGGAGTGGGGAGTGGGGGGTGAGGGGAGCGGGGAGGGGCGCATCTCAACTCATGGTCCTTCAACTGCTGCCTCAGAGTTGCATCATCCGCTGTGAAAGGACGGGAAGAGTGAGATGGAAGTGGGGAGTGGAAATTTTATTTGCGAGTCGACTAAAAAATGCCTGCCGCCTCAGTGCTGCATCGTCCACTGTGAAGGGGCGGGGGGGGAGAGGGGGGGACTGTGAGTGGGGAGCGGGGAGCAGGGAGGAGCGCAGCTCAAGTCATGGCCCCCCAGGTGCTGCCTTGTCTGCTGCTGTGGGTGGGGGAGACGAAGTCGGAGAGGAAGGGGGGGGGGGGGGAGGAAAGGGGCAAAGTGGTGGGGAAGGTGAGGGGGGAAGGGAGGATGATTGGGGGGAGGGATGAGTGCTGCTGCTGCTGCTGGGGCTGGCGCTGTCAAGTCACACATAAACACACACCCACTGCCAAGTCCTCACCTATTTCTCTGAGTGTGCTGCAGGGGAGGCGCCAGGAGAGCTCGTCCTCATCCTCACACTCCTCAAACGGCCGTACAGGCTGCTTGCCCCTGCTGCTGTTACTGCTGCCAGGACCGGCGCTGCCTCGGGCTTCTTCTGTGGCGGCAGTTGTAGCTCCTGCCTCTGCTCCTGAAGTAGCAGGCTGCTCTCTTGGTTGGCATGGCGTTTCTGCAGGGCGAGCGGGGGAGTGAGTGTGGTGAAGAGTGGTCTTAAGTGGTGCAGGTATGAAGGGAGGAGTGGGGAGGAATTCACAGTGGTTACAGGTGTGTGTCGTGAGGGGGAAGAGTGAGTGAAAGGGTGTGTGGAGGAGGGAAGGATGGAGGGAGTGGTAAGAGGAACGTAGAACCATGACCCTGAAGGGAGGGAGTGAGAATCCCTGTTGGAAATGCGATGGGAGAAAACGTGTGAGCGCGCGCGTGTGTGTGTGTGCGTGTGTCTGCGTGTGTGTGCGAGCTCCGCGCAGCGCGTGTGCGCCACTGTGGGGGGATTGGCCTGTATGAGAGCGGGGAAGGGGGTATGTATATCTCGCGCGTGTATCCCGAAATTGGGCACCAGCGATCCCCAACAAGCGACAGGAATGGATCCTTTTCACCCAAACCCAGACAACGAATCCTGAACCCCAAAACCTGAACCTGGATCCCTTGCCCTGAACCCTACCTCCTGTCTCACTCAGCCTCTAGATTTTCCGTACAAATTAGAGAGTAGCTTCGGACTCACATTTATGTTTTCTGCAGCAGGCGACAGAGCAGCTTCAGAGGCGGCGCAGGGAGGGGCGAGGCGGAAGGGGAAGGTGGATGACAGGGGGGGGAATCAGGGGGGTTGCGGGGGAAACGTTTGGAGGAAGGGGGGGAGAAGGACAGAGGGAGAAAAGGAAATTACGATAACATATGTTTAGCTCTGGCGGGTTTCGAGGTGTAAGAAATGTGTTCGTCCAAAGGTTGGGTTGCGATCACAGCGGACGTACTAGGGAGAGAGGCACGTGGGGCATTTGTATTTGGCGGTTTGCGATTGGCACACGACGCACTGCTGCTGTCCTCCTTTCGCCATGCTGCGCTGCGACAAGTGAACTACAAGCGTGCTACTAGGGTGCGACGGTGTGTGGCTTCTTCCCTACAAAGAATGCGAAGTGGGCCCTACGACGGTTCGTGAAACCTAATCGTCCACAACCCTAAGCTTGATTGAGAGGGTGTGAACGTAGCCTTGCCACGGTTTCTCTGAAATCGTTTTTTATCAGCCACCATCAATTGTGATGGCTCAATTGTTCTGGCCTGCTGCTGGAGTCAGGAGGACTATGTCGTGCTATTGTACATTTGGCAGTTTTATGACGCCCAAACCAGCATCTTCCGTGCTGAATTGCAGAATGTGGGAGCCAGCAGGGCGTATACTGGTTCGTTCCAAGCACGAAATTCAGGTGAAACTGGCTCTGATACTACGTAGTTTCAGAGAGAAGTTCAGAAAATGATGGTGGTTCATTATGCCGTGAAACGGCAAAATGAAACCGCTCAGGGGTGGCCTGCCCGCATCCACCATTGTGTTTTCGCTTCAGGCACGAACCAAAGAGTTGGGGATTTCAATGATTCGAACCGAAGCCCGTTCAGTAAATAACGAAAGATACCCCAAAGTGACACCCGAACAGCAACTGCCTGTCTTGTGTTGTCAAATTACTGCGTCCAAATCTAACCAATCCCAAGGCAACCACTCCCAATCAACCGGCCACTCATCGCCCAGCAGCCCTCCTGCGCGCCAAAACTGATTACCATTGGCTGACTTCCTCGCTGCCCACCTCAGCTTCTGATGGTGAAGCAGCTGAGTTTTTTTCCTCTGCTCTTTACCACTTTGAAAGCATAAAGCACCGTATTGTAACGCTTCTCCTGGCTATCTGTGGTGTTCCTTCCCACCCAAGATGCTGTCAGCTCACCTCAATCCATGGCATTCCACCTGCACATAATTTCGCCTTTATCATCGGTGTGTTTCAGTCCAAAAAGGTAATCAGCACGAACCGCTGTTTACCCTTTTGAAAATTACGGAACCGTAGTTGAGAATGAGTTGACGGAGGCTGGGGAGGGCACGATTCCCCTGGCTGAAAGCAGATGACGTGGAATGAATTGACCCACCCACATACATCCTGTTATCCAGATGCTCCGTATTCAGGCCTGCCGCGAGTTGCGGCGACAAGAGCGTTTTGTGGTTGATTTCCAACGGCGCGTTTTGTGTTACCACGCCTCACGCTTATTATGCCCTCCGTCCGCGTCGTCTCGAATCATGCACGCACTACTGTTTTAGTATCGCTCGACTGCGACAAGCCTTCGCGAATCTATTGAGTTTTCCTTTTCTCACTCTCTAAGGCCGTTCGCGTGTCATCAGATACATTGACGAATAAGGAGTTACGGTCTTCGTATCCGACGAATTCTGACAATTCGAATTCTGACGTATTGAGTGTTGAAACTACTGTAGTTCTTACCTTCATCTGTTCGGCTTGTTCTATATGAACCTTTTTCAGGATACGGCGAGGATGCGTTCTTAGACTCAGGCATGAGATGCTTCGTACGGTTGAGATTCGCGTTTAGCAACCCGTGATCAACAACGTCCGTTTCAGTCATCTCTTGCATGATCACATCCGTTTTAACGCCACTGTCGTGAGCTTACCCTCACACCTTTCTGCAGTACGGCAATTTTAGATCCCGGAAATCATGGATTTTGGTTTTGGCCTATTCTTACCCAAACGGCAAAGTCCGGAACCGCCAAAATCCACATCAGGCGGATCAGGCGCATCAGGCGCATCAGCTACAAGCCCCCGCGCATTCCATGCCTCAGGCTCGGATTCCTCCTCCTCTCTCCTCTCCTTCGGTCCGTACCTTCCTCTAGCAACCGCCAGCGACACAGCTAGCAGCAAGACTCTGAGCGCGTCAGGCGCCGCGATTCCCGCTGGGTCCACTTCCTCCACCTCCTCTTCAAGCGGTCAGGCCAGCGCCAACGCGAAACGCGGCGGGACTTCCGGCGCAACTCGCGCTGGTTTTCCTGCCGGGGGTAGAGATTCAGGAGGAGGTGGATATGGGGGCGGTGGTTATGGGGGAGGAGGAACCGGGGGAGGTTCGGCTTATGCTGGAGTGAGTGGTGAGGGGATGGGTGGGAGAGGAGCGATGAGGACTGCTGTGGGTGGCGGTGGTAACCATGTTACAAGTGGTTTTGATGGTGAAAGCGGTATTGTTAGTGGTGCGGACAGGTTCAGTGGTGTCAGGACAACGAAAACTGCAGCTGCGGGTTTAGGAGGCATGGGGGGCATGGGATACTTAGAAGGAGGAGCAAGAGGAGCAATAGGAGCGGGTCGAGAAGCAGGGGTTGCAGACGGCAAAATAGGGGCACTTAGGCCAGAAAGAGCTAGTACTGCTGGTACCTTCTCCGCCGGCCCTACTGGTACCTCTCGTGTCAACCCTATTCGCGCCTCTACTGGCGCTGCTGTTCCTCCTGTCGCTTCTGCCGCTCCTGGTGCTGCCACCAGCACCAGCACTGGCAGCAGCATCACCAACAGTGGCAGCAGCAGCAGCAGCAGCAGAGGGGGAGTGACAGGGAGCAGCAAGTCTGATTTGCTGTCGCGGGACTTATGGATGAAGGACAGCCACGTGCTGCACTGCTACGCGTGTGACGCGCAGTTCACCATTCTAAACCGCCGCCACCACTGCCGCCGCTGCGGCCGCGTCTTCTGCGGTCGATGCACCCAGCGCTCCATCCCCATGCCCTTCCTTCGCCGCGACCAGCCGCGACCGCTCCTGCCAGCCTCTGCTGCTCCTTCTGCTGGTGGTAGTGGTGGTGGGGGTGCTGGTGGTGGTGGTACTGCTGCTGGGGTTAACTCTGCTGGTGGTGCTGCTGCTGGTGGTGGTGGTGGTGGTGGTGGTGGTGTTGGTGGTGGTGTTGGTGGGGTTCAGGACGTTGCTACTGAGAAGGTTCGGGTGTGCGACCAGTGCTATGCCGAGGCTCTCAGCTTGCCTCGGAGGGACCCCCAGGCTAGAGGTGCAGGTTCGGCGTTCGGGAAGCGGTCGAGGTGGGAGAGGGAAGAGGTGGAGGGGGGCAGGGGAGGGGAGGGAGGGGGGAGGGGAGGGGAGGAGAAGGGGATCTGTGGGAGTGGGAGGAGGGAGGGAAGATGAGGCGGGGAGTGGGACGGGGGAGGGGTCGGAGTGGAGGAATAGGGGGAGAAATGGGCGGAATGTATGGGCCTGTCATGGGGATGGGAGCGCTGAAGAGCGTTTCAGTGGGTGAGGGGTGGGGAAGGGACAGCAGGGGCGGGTTTAGGGGAGAAGGAGGGGCGTTGTTGGGCTTCAGACGGCAGCAGAGCAGTGGATTGGCGGAGGGCGTGGGAGAAGGTGGTGGAGTTGGGACGCAGTATGAGTTCAGGCACCCGAAATACAGGTCGGTTTTGGTTGGCAACTTGGCATTGCCTTTTTTTGTGTTTTCTGCTTCATTGTCTGATTTCTTTTTTTTAGGCATCACACCCGTGCAATTTGCATATTGCGTTTTTTTTTTTTTTTTTTTTTTTTTTTTTTTTTTTTTTTCCCCTTGGTATTTTTCCAACGTCGGTGGCTATTATTGAGGCGCCCCTTTTTCTGTTTTGTTTTGTTTCGTTTTTTGTGTGTGTGTGTGTGTGTGTGTTTTTTTTTTTTTTTTTTTTTTGACTTCTTTTATGAAACACGACAACATTGCAGGATTGATGACGAATACTATGGGGAGGAAGAGGAGGACGCAGAGGAGGAGGAAGATGAAGAGGAGGAGGAGGAGGAGGAGGAGGAGGAGGAGGAGGAGGAGGAGGAGGAGGAGGAGGAGGAGGAGGAGGAGGAGGAGGAGGATGAGGATGAATGCGAGGAGGACGATGATGACGAGGAGGAGGACGAGGAAGAGGAGGAGGAGGAGGAGATGGGGTATATACTGTCTCAGGGAAGGGCGAGGCGAAGAGGCAGGGTAAGGGGCAGTACCGACTCTAGGGGAGACGGGGCAGGGGAAAGGTTCAAAGGAGAAAGTGAGGGAGAGAAGTTGCAATCAGGAGGCAGAGGGGACAGAAGAGTCGGGATTGGAGCACAGGCGGAAGCAGCAACAACAGCAGCTGGTTTAGGAGGAAGGATAAACGAGGAAAGGGTGAAAGGAAGATATGGAGGGGGAGCAGGAGCAGGAGAAGCAAGAGGTGGAACAGGAGCAGGAGCAGCAGGAGAGGGAGCAGGAGCAGCAGTGGTAGTAGCAGGAGGAGGAGGAAGAGGAGGAGGTGTGGGTGGAGGTAAAGCGGAAGCAACACGGAAAGGGCTGTTGGGTCTGACTGGGTTTGGTGTTGGGGGCCTGAGTGGGTTTGGTGTGGGGTTCCAGTCGCGGACTCTCTCACATGACAGTCTGCTGGGACTCAGTGGGGCGCAGGATGGGGGGAGAAGTGAGAGGAATGGGTTGGGCGGACGAAGCGAGAGGAGTGGCTCGGATTCCAAGTGGAGGGGCGGTGGAGGAGAGGTGGTAGTGGAAGGGGAGGAGGGGGAGGATGGGGAGGTGGGGGCGAGGAGAGGACCCCATGCTCGACATAGTCACATTCATTATTATGACCCGCAGCACCATCACCAGCAGCAGCACCTGCAGCAGCAGCAGCAGCAGCAGCAGCAGCAGCAGCAGCAGCATGGACCCCAGCGGAGGCATGTGGAGCAGTGTGAGTTGAATCGTGCTTTGAACACTGATGCTCAACTTCTCACAGGGCCTTTTGAGACCTCTCAAAAGTCGTCTGAACTTCTCACAGGGCCAGTGAAAGGAAACGCCAGTGCCGGTGGTGGCAGCACCACTGGTGGTAGCAACAGCCAGGGCATTGTGGAGCGTGGTTCTGCTAGCAGCAATAGCATCAGCAGCAGCACAGATCAGAAAAGTATGAACAGCAAGGGCACGAGCAGCGGTAACGCCATACTGAGCAACAGCAGCACCACTGACCGCAGCGGTTGCACTGATCCTAGCAGCAGCAGCAGCAACCCTCTTCCAGTACAAGCCCTGCCAACGGCCCTCCCACTGTCACGCGCCACAGCAGCCGCAACGGCAACACGCGATGGGAACACACTCCCCAGCGAGCCGCAGAAGTCGCATGAAAGAGAGAGCAGCGGAATGGAGATGGCCGGTGATAACGACACCAGAAGAGGCATTCCCATCAGCAACGTGCCAGCAAAGCCCAAGGAGCCGTACGAGCGACTAGGTTCCATCAAGGGGTGGGGAGGCTGGGAGCATCTAGGGGCAGCAGTGACAGAGGAGGAGAGCGACAGAGAGAGCCCGTCCATGTGGGATCTGGCTTACTTCCCTCTCGGCTTCACCAGGACGTTTGGGCTTGGGTTGGGAGGGGGTGGTAAGGCAGCGGGGAGCAGGATGGGCGGTGGCGGGGGAGGCGGTGGCGGTGGTGATGGTGCTGTGGGTAAGTCGTCGTCGGTTAATGCGCTTGACTCGTTTCCATTCTCACTCATTTCCCCTCGAGGGTCCAAGCCTGCTGCTGCCTTGCCTGCTGCGGCTGCGTTGCCTGCGGATTCTGCTGCGCCTGCTGCTGCTCCTGCCGCTCCTGCTTCGGTTGGCAGTAACAATCCAGCTGCTGGGTTACCAGCAGCAGTAACAGCAGCTGCCGAGCATGGTAGGCCATCCCTCTCACGTCCCAACACACCTCCCCACCCCAGCAGGAATGGGACTGTCCCTGGTTCTGCCTCAAGCACTACCCCTACTGCCCCTAATGCCCCTTATGCCCCCACTGCCCGAAATGCCTCTAATGCCACTGGCCACAAATCCACTGCCACGACTGCCACTGGCCTGTCTGGCAGAGAGGGGTTTGGTGGTCGGTTGGAGGGAGGGGATGGCATGGGTGGGGGCTTGGGAGGGGCAGGGAGGACGAGGAGTGGGTTTGGGTTGGAAGAGGGGGATTATGTGGAGGACAGCGATTGGTGGTGCCGGGACAGGTGGACGCTGGGAAGGAAAGCGGGCAGGAGTGGTGGTGGTGCCGCTGCTGGTTTGAGCACGCTTGATGCTGCTGCTGGTTTGAGCACGCTGGATGCTGTTGCTGGTTTGAGCACGCTTGATGCTGCTTCTAGGCAGGGAGTGGGGATAAGGGGGGGTGAGCAGTGGCAGCGAGGGGAGATGGGTGAGGGAGCAGCAGTAGGTGTGAGGGAGGCAGGAGCAGAGGGAGTGGGTGAGATATTGCAAGATAAGGGTGGCGTTAGCAGCGCATTTGAGATGAAAGGTGGCACTGAGAGGACAGGTGCTCATGCTGCTGCCCCTGGTGCTGCTTTCTTGGCAGCTTCTGCTGGATCAGGAGCAATAGCAGCAGGACCAGAAGCATCAGCGAACGCAGTACCAGCAGAACTGTCAGCTGAAGCACCAGCAGGTAGTGTAGCAGCCATGCCCGTGACGGCAGGAGCAGCTGCAGCAACCGCCTCACAGCAGTCAGTGGGGAGAGGAGCACAGGGGGCACAGTATGATGTGGTGAAGGGACCGGCACTTCACATCCGCACAGGCAGCCAGGACCTCTGGCGCCCTGGGGATGATCCTCATGGCCCCCCTGCTGCCCCTGCTTCTGCTACTCCCTCTGCTTCCGCTGCTGCTGCTGCTGTTACTGCTGCTGATGCTACCGCTGCTGCTGCTGCTGCTGCTGCTGCTGCTAGTGCTGCCGGTGGTGCTGTGGGTGGTGGTGGGGGTAGGGGAGGGGACGTTGGAGGAGGGTTGGGAGAAACAGGGGGAGGAGCAGGAGGGGGAAGCAGCGGGCTTGTACGTTCTGGGTCGTTTGGTGGGGCTGGGTCCAGTGTGGTGGGGTCCAGTGTGGATGATCGAGTCGGAGCAATGATAGTTGCTACTCCTACTGCCTCTGGCTCTGCCACTCCCAGACCTCGGTCTATACAGGAAGATGCAGATGCAGGGGAGGAGAGTGCAGAAGGAGTGGCGTCCGGATTCGGCGTATCTCCGTACCTGCAGTCGTCGTACGGCTCGTCTTCCTCCGAGTGTCCAGATGCAGTGAATCTGGAGGCGAATAGCAAGCTCTGGGAGACGCCGCCTCCGGATTCGTCTGCACTTGGGGGAGGTGGGATCCAGGGCAGGGGCAGGGCGGTTGCATATGTGGATGAGGAGGATGAGGAGGGAAGCTGGTGGAATGAGAGAGGAGGAGGGGAAGGAGAAGGAGAAGGGGAAGGAGATGGGTGGGATGCAGGCAGCAGCACTGGTCAGTATGGTGATAGCTCATCCTCGGTTTATGGGGGTGGGGAGGGATGGCAGGGGGATGGATATATGGGGGCATATAGCGGAGGACCAGGAGGAGGAGGCGGGGCAACACGAACAGGAGGGAGAGAGGGGGGAGGAGGTGCTGCAGCTGCTGCTGCAGTACCGGCAGGGGCGGGAACAGTGCTGCCAGGCAGTGTTGATGCACGGGAGAGGCTAAGGGAGGTGGTAGAGGGGCATTTCAGCGCGCTAGTAGAGCAGATGCTTAAAGCTGAGGGGCTGCAGGCAGGGGCCGAGGGAGACCCTGAGGGATGGCTTGAGGTGGTTCGGCGCCTAGCGTCCGAAGCTGCGTCGCTGGTTCGGCCGGACTCGAGCTCGATGGGGGGGTATATGGATCCTGGGGGATACATCAAAGTGAAGTGCATCGCGGGGGGGAAGCACAGTGAGAGGTACGTGCCAGGGGGGGCCTGGGAGAGGAAGCACTCCAGGAAGGTCGATATGTACTACACTCTTCGATTCCGCCATTCCTCTTTGTTCTCGTCACTCTCTCTCCGATTTCTTCTCTTGCTTCCCCTCCCTCCTCTGTCTTGCAGCAACAGACCCATCTGCGCCACATGCTGCAGAAGATCGAGCGCAAGTTCCCCCGCCCTGCCACCCCACAAGCCCCTGTACAAGCCTACTCGCAAGCCCCCTTGCAAGGCCACTCGCAAGGCTACCAACAAGGTTACCCACAAGGCTACCCACAACGGCCGCCCAGCAGCCATGGCGCACTCTCTGTTCCGACCACACCCACAGGAGCAGCAGTGGGGGCAAGGGGCCGGGGTTTCCGGGGTGAAGGGGAGTTGGGTTCAGGGCTGACGAGGCAGACTGGGGTGCTTGGGAGTGGTGCTTTTGGTGGTGTTAATGGCGGTGGGGGGGCTGCTGTTGGGGGGTTTGGGGGTGGGTATGGTGCTGCTGCTGGGGGTGGGTATGGTGCTGCTGCTGGGGGTGGGTATGGTGCTGCTGCTGGGGGTGGGTATGGTGCTGCTGCTGGGGGTGGCGGTGGGGGTGGGCATAGGAGGACAGGCAGCAATGCCAGCAGCACCACTGGAAGCGTCATCAGCACTGGCAGCAGCACCACCTACAACAGCAACAGCACGTACAACAGCAACAGTACATACAGCAACAACAGCAACAGCAACACCTATAACACCAGCAACAGCACATACAACCAAGCTCCGGCCCCGGCTCCAGGCGGATTAACTCGCTACAGCAGCATGGGGAGCACTCACAGCCTCTCTAGCTACCCCTCCACCCCCGCCACCACCACCAGCAATACCACAGGCAGCAATGGCCCTTTCTCGATCCCCTCAACCCCCTCAGCAGCCTCCATGCCGCCAGCTAACACGGGCGGGCAAGCGGGCGGGCAGCCGGGCGGGCAGGTGGGCGGCAGTGTGTTGCTAGTGGAGGGTACAGTGTCAGGGTTCGCGCAGCAGTGGATGGTGGAGCACCGCATGTCTCTCGTCTTCAATGTCAAGCGCTCGTTGCTTGAGAGAGTGGCGCGCTGCACGGGAGCCAAGGTGGCTCAGTCTGCTGAAACTCTTGATAGGCTCGGGCAGTGCCAGCGGTTCTGGACGAGGAAGTTTGTGGAGGAGTGGGATGCGGTGGGGAGCAGTGGCGGTGGGGTGGGGGCGGAGGGAGGTGTTGGGGGGGGCAGGGGGAGGGGGTCTGCGATGGGTGTGAGTGGAATCAGTAGTGGTGGTGGCGGTGGTGGCAGTGCTGCTGCTGCTGGTGCTGCTGCTGGTGCTGCTGGGGGTGCTGCTGGTGGTGCTGCTGGGGGTGGTCGCAAGAACGTGAAGACGCTGCTGTTTCTTGAGGGCTGCCCCATCCCTCTCGGCTGCACGGTACATGCTTCCTCACTTGGGAAACCCCTTTTTTCACGGTCTCACCCTTGGCCTTCACGGTTATAACTTCAAGAAAAGGATAAAGTCCTTCTTGGCTGGAGGGCGAGAATGACGTCTGTCAAGCCATGAGAGAGTTGTATTGTTTGTTGTTTGTGGTACTAACCTGCTTAATGCACGTGATGTTGCTGCGCTTTTGTTTCCTTTTCATGTCCTGTGTCTGTTGAAGTGAGTGAGTGAAGTGAATCACTCTCAAGTGCTGCCACCCGCAAATCGCATTTCATTCCAACCCCATGGCCCCTCTCTAAAAGTTCTGCTCTGACTGCTCCGCCTGCTGGGCCTGCTCTCTCTCCGCCCACCAGGTGCTGCTGATGGGGGCGCCCACAGCGGAGCTGAAGCGAGTGAAGGGGGTGATGCACTTCCCATGCCCATCCTTACCTTCACCCCTCCCTCCTCCTGTTCTTTTTTCCCCACCAGGTGCTGCTGATGGGGGCGCCCACAGTGGAGCTGAAGCGGGTGAAGAGGGTGATGCACTTTGCAGTGTTCGCCTCCTACCACCTCGCCCTCGAGACCTCCTTCCTCGCAGACGAAGGCGCCCTTCCCCCCGGCATCGCCCCCTGCCCTCCTCTGTGTGCCGCTGCGTTACCTCCTCCTGCTCCTGCTGCTCCTCTCATTTCCGCTCCTGCTGCTGCCAATGCAGCTGCCCCGTTTCCCGCTGTTGCTGTTGACCCTCCTCCTCCTCCTGCTGCTGCTGGTGCGGGTGCTGCTGCTGACACAGCATTCACAGATGATTCTGCCGCTGCCGATGCCCCAAGACAGCCTGGAGATGGTGGAAATGAGGAGGGTGAGGGTGGGGAGCGAGATAGGCGAGCACAGGTCTCTGGTGCTCTGGTTGGCTCTCATCTGCCAGCTGGCGCTCCTCCATTGGCCGGTGATGCTCCGGCATCGCAGCCTCATCTGCTTGCTGATGTCATGGCCGCTGACGTGGCTTCCACAGATGAATCTGCTGCCATCAATCGCTCAGACGGAACTGGTGCTGGTAATATTATCACCCCTCCTCCTGCTATAGTCACATCTGTACCCGTTAGTAGCAGCAGCAGTGGCAGCAATAGGTCGTCACCTCGCCGGATCGCACAGTTGTCAGCTTCCCTGTGGGCCAGTGGGGTGTCTGCTGTGAGAGAAAGTGTGAGGGAGAGTGGTGCGGAGGTTGTGAGAGAGATTGGGGAGGGTGTGAGGGAGTCTGCAGGAGATAGTGAAGGGCAGGGTCGAAAGGAAGAGGAGGTGGGTATTGGGGAAACAGAAGGAGAAGGAAGCTCAGGTGGATTTGCAGTAGAGGCAGCAGGAGAGGCGAGGAGGGGAGCAGCAACAAGTGCGGCACAAGGGAGTGCTGTTGGTGTTGGTGTTGGTGCTGGTGCTGGTGCTGGTGCTGGTGCTGGTGCTGGTGCTGGTGCTGGTGCTGGTGCTGGTGCTGGTGCTGGTGCTGGTGCTGGTGCTGGTGCTGGTGCTGGTGCTGGTGTTGGTGTTGGTGCTGGTGCTGGTGCTGGTGCTGGTGCTGGTGCTGGTGCTGGTGCTGGTGCTGGTGCTGGTGCTGGTGCTGGTGATGGCGAAGGAAAGAAGAGTGAAGCGAATGCTGCATCACAAGGAGGGGTGTTGGAGAGTAAATCTCCAGCTGTAGCAGCAGCTGCAGCACCAGATTCAGCCAGTGGTGAGGGGATTCCGCCTGGATTAGCACAGGGGAAGCAGCCACAGGTGGACGAGGGGCTAAATCTGAAGCAATCTCAGCAGCCTGCAGGGGTGCTTTCTCCTCCTCCTCCGCAGCAGGCGCAGCAGCAGCAGCAGGCGCAGCAGGCACAGCAGCGACAGCAGGGAGGGATTGGCATAGCGATTCTGCTGGAAGGAAGAGATGCAGCGGACGCACATGCTTCTGTTGATGCTTCTGCTGCTGCTGGTGGTTCCTTCCCCGCTGCTGCTCCTTCTGTTCCTGCTGCTCCTGCTACTGCTGCCATCAATGGCCCTACAACAGAAGCTGTACAGAGCCAGGCGGGACTTATGGCGGACGCCCCAGAAGCAGCGGCTGATGCATCACTCAGGCTATCAGCAGCAGCTGTTGCAGCCGCACCACCAGCAGTAGCAGCGGCACCAGCGGCAGCAGAAGGGAGAGAACCCGCCCCTCAGCCCCTCACCATCCCCCCCTCTCTCACCCCACAGTCCCACATTGCCCCTCTCACCCCACAGCCGCACCTGGCCCACCCGCTGGCCCCAGTGTCGCCATCGGAGCACCAGTCGATCCTGGTGTGGGCGTCCAGCCGCTGTGTGTCGCGCAAGCTGCTGTGTGAGCCGCCAGAGCTGATGCGCATCAAGTACTACGGCGATAGGGACATGCCGCTGGGGCACTTTCTCACCCAGTTCGTGCTCAATCCTCTCTGGGTGAGTGGTGTGCGTGACTGGGCTTGATGTTTGAAGACGTTTAAGTGGACTCATAAGGCACGATAGGGAGTTAATCCACTTGAGCCTCACTTCCAGTCTCCATGCAAGATCAGTGACATTCTCCCTTCCTCCGTGTTCCCCTTCGCTCCGTTTTCATCCTTCCTCTCGTCAGCGCTGCAACGCAAGTGCAGCATGCCATCACGAGATAGCGTATGTAATTGTTTTTTGAGGCGCCTCAAAAATCGTCTCAAAATTTTTGAGGTGCCTCAAAAAGCATGCCATGATGAGATAGCGTATGTAATTGCACACATTGCACAAGGAAGGCTCCCTCCCGCACTCCTCCATGCCCCCCTTCCCCCCTGTTTCCCCGTCCCTCTTCCCTTCCATCCCTCCTTGCTCCTGTCAGCGCTGCAAGTGCGGCATGCCATCACAGGACCACGTGCGTGTCTATTCCCACAAAGAAGGCTCCCTCACCATCTCCGTGCGCAAGGCAGATGACATCCTCCCCCCCACGCACCCCCTGCAACTGCCAGGGGGAGGGGGAGCAAGCGGGGGGAGAGGAACCTATGGGGGAGGAGGAGGGGGATATGGGGGTGGGGGTGTGGGTGCAGGAGCAGGAGAAGCGGATATGGGTATGGGGTGTGGTGGACAGGACTCTGCTGTGTCTGCTGCTGGGTCTGCTGGGGCTGCTGCTGTGGGCGGTGCGTGCCCGCCGCCCGCTGCCGCCCGGTGCATCTGGATGTGGCACCGCTGCCGGCAGTGCCGCCCGGTGGACGGAGTGGCGCCGGCCACGCGCCGCGTGCTCATGTCCGAGGCGGCGTGCAAGCTGTCGCTGGGAAAGTTCCTGGAGCTTTCGTTTACCAACCATGTGGTGGTGGGGCGCCTGGCGGCGTGTGGGCACTCGCTGCATCGCGACTGCCTGCGCTTCTACCGGTGGATGTAGATTACTGGAAGGGTGCTGCAATGATTGTGTTGTGGTGCCATGCCATGTGTAGGGCATTGGTTGTTTTGTTGGGGTTCCATCCATCAGCCTCTGCGGGGGCGCATGGGGGCCTGTGGGCACTCGCTGCACCGCGACTGCCTGCGCTTCTACCGGTGGGTGCCAGTGGCAGGGTGCTTGTGATGTGGTTCGAATTCCAAATCCGTGCTCAATCTGTGGCTCAGTTAGAGTGTTATTAAATACCCTCTGTCTGTGCATCAGATGGTCTCACGTCTGTCCATGAGCACTGTGTAAGTCCCCTCAGCTCATCAAGAATGACGAAGTAGCAAATTATTCTCCTTAAATCATACCTTTTGTCCTTGTGAGCAGGAGTGGCGAGATGATAGCATGCCTGGCCTACTCGCCCATGCATCTCTACTCTGTCTGTCTGCCGCCTCTGCGCCTCAGCTTCAACCACCGCCAGCAGCAGCAGTGGCTCGTGGACGAATTCAACGATGTGAGTTCCACTTCCGTTGGCTCGGTTGACTGCATTGACTTGGTTGAATCAGGTACATATCTCATTGTCTGAGTGAGCTTCAACCACCGCCAGCAGCAGCAGCAGCAGCAGCAGAAGCAGTGGCTCGTGGACGAATTCAATGATGTGAGTGCTGCTGCTGTTGACTCTACCGACTACGTTGACTTGGTTTAATGATATTCGTATTACAGTGCGTGAACGCGCCGACTACGTTGTCTGAGCTTCATCATGACATCATGATATTCATGAACGCGCTGGAAGCCCTTGCAGCGCGCCTGGCAGTTGCTTGCAGTGCAGCGCGCCTGGCAGTTGCTTGCAGTGCAGCGTACCTACCGAGTCAAACCCCTGTTCCCTCTCACCCTCACATCCTGCCGGCAGTGTAGGCAGCGGAGCAGGTGTGCATGTGTTAGAACTTGAGCTTAGAATCCATACATTAGTAATGAGCTCAAGGCTCTTTAAGTACATCGGAAATGGGCAAGGTAAGGATGGGGAGAGAATCGGGGGCAATCCTAGGGGATTGGGGGTAATCCCAAGGCAATCTCCAATTGGTGGGTTGGAGATTGCTTGGAGATCACATTTGGGTTTGGTTGGGATGTGGGTGCACACCCAACCAAACACCAAGTGCACACTACACTAGGATATAAAAGTGCAAGTACAAAATGTGAGATTGAGGGCTAACACTAACAGCATGGACATCATGAATGCCCTTGACGCTCTTGCAGCGCGCCTGGCAGCAGGCGGGAGCAGTGCTGTGTGCCTCAAACCCCTGTCTCCCCTTCCTTCTCCGTTCCCCTACAGGTGGCGGAGGCAGCGGAGCAGATGTGCATGGACATCATGAACGCCCTTGACGCTCTCGCAGCGCGCCTGGCAGGACAGCACTTAGCACACCTTTCCCTCCCTGTGCCTTCCCCCCCCCCCCCCCCCCACGTGGTGCTGCAGGTGGCAGAAGCAGCGGAGCGGGTGTTCATGGACATCATGAACGCCCTTGACGCTCTCGCAGCCGACCCAGTGAGCTTGCAGTGCAAGTCACCTCAACAACCTCCATCCCCCTCCCTCCTTCCCCGTAACGTGCCGCAGGTGGCAGAAGCAGCGGAGCGGGTGTTCATGGACATCATGAACGCCCTTGACGCTCTCGCAGCCGACCCAGTGAGCTTGCAGTGCAAGTCACCTCAACAACCTCCATCCCCCTCCCTCCGTCCCCGTAACGTGCCGCAGGTGGCAGAAGCAGCAGAGCGGGTGTTCATGGACATCATGAACGCTCTAGATGCGCTTGCAGCACGTCTGGCGCAGGGAGGCCCACTGTCTGCCAGCCGCTTCCCCGAGGCGCGGGCCAGCCTGGCGCTGCTGGAGGCGACTCTGCAACGCGATAAGGCTGTGTTTGATGTGAGTGTGGTGCGGTATGGTGTGTTGGGGTGTAGTGCTGTGCGGTTGAATGCTCTTGATGCTCTTGCAGCGGCCCTGGCGGCGGGTGGCCCGCTGTGTGATGTGAGGCACGGGCCAGCCTGGCACTGTTGGAAGCCACTCTGCAGCGCGATAAGGCGGTGTTTAATGTGAGTGTGGTGCGGTGTGGTGTGGAGTGGTTCTGTGTGCCGTGTTGTGCTGTGGCGTGCTGTGCTGAGGTACCTGCTTATGAGAATTCTTTGAGGAAACTACATTAATTTTCTTCTCGCTTGGTGTGATTCTCGTCCATCCCTCTTGCTGTTCCCTCCACAGAAAAAACTTCAGCAGGCAGCGCCAGATTTCAGTCTGCCCGCCGGGCAGCCCGTGACAGATATTCTGGAGCTGAACCGGGTGCGGCGAGATCTGACCGTCCAATTAGCTGAGTGGGCGGAGCGGCTGCAAAGATTAGCAGCGGAGATTCAACAGCCGCCGCAGCAACGAGCAGCAGTCATGGCAGCAACCCCAATGCAATCCGAAGCACCAGTAGCTGCACTTGAGGCAGAAGCAGCGTCAGAAACAGGTGGAGAAGAAGCAGGGCCACCAGACGGCAGGAAAGGCGCTAGTCTAGCTAAGGGACAGGTGTCATCCAATGATTCGCTACCAAAAGCCAGCCCGAAACAGCAGCAGCGGCAGGTAGAAGGCGGGTCTCTGGAGGTGCCAGGCAGGGATAGGGATGACTCCGTGGGGCTGCTCAGTGCCACTCTAGACCTCGCCGCTCGGGCCGCTGAGGCTCGGCGAAAGAAGGCCTGGGAGACGGAGGCTCGGGAAATAGAGGCCCGGGAACCAGATGCAGCAGGAACAGAGGCCCGGCAAGCAGGGACAGAAGAGTCCCCTCTGCTAGTATTAGAAGCTTCGGGGAAGGAGGAGGTTAAATACGAGGGAGAGCAGGAAGTTGAGAGTGGTTCTGGGAGTGTGTTGCTAGATGGTGGGGAAGGAGGAGTGGAGGAGAGTGGAGTGGAGGGGAAGGGAGAGGATGGAGTGGAGGGAGTGGGAGGAGAGGAGGGTGTTAAGGGGAGTGGGTTGGAGGAGAAGGGAGAGGAGGGTGTTAAAGCAAGTGATATGCATGGGAATGTAGAGGGTGGCAGTAAGGGAGAAGTGGGGGAAAGCGGTGAGGCGGTAGCCCTACATGCACAAGGTGGTGACGCTGAGAGTGAGTGCGAGGCTGAGGCAAGCAGCATGCCGTCAGTGGGTGCCGCAGATGCATTTGGGGAGGCGAAGCCAGAGGCGTCTAATGAGAGCATGGCTTCGAGCCATACTCCCCTTACTGTGACTTCGAGCCAGGAATCAGCAGGGGCGGGTGGCAAAGACAGTCCAGGGTTGGCAATACAAGGCACTGAGGCCGCTGTTGGTAGTGCTGCTGGTCCTGCCACTGCTCCTGCTGTTGCTCCTGTGGCAGGAGGAGTTGCTGCAGCAGCAGCTGCTGCTGCTGTTGCTGCTGTTGCTGCTATCACTCCTGCAGGTTCTTCTGCTTCTGCAGCTGCAGCTGCCACCGAGGCCGCCACTCCCGTCGCCACTGCACCAGCAGCCGCACAGGCAAATGGTCCTGCTGCTCTCCTTGGTGCTGACGTGGCAGCTGACGTGGCGGTCGCTGAGTCAGCAGCGGATGCTGCAGCAGTTGCTGACTGGGCGGTTGGAGTGGCAGGAGCAGCAGTGGTGCCACGTGCGCTTTCAGTCGGACATCTCCCTGTGTGGGCCTCCTTCCCTGCTGCCGTTTCAGCGTCCTTACCATCAGTCCTACCAGCAGCTTTACCATCTGCCCTACCAGCAGCAGCCTTACCATCGGTTCTACCAGTAGTGTTACCAGGCGTTTCTATACCTGCTCTATCTGCAGCGGTTGTTGCTGTGTCACCTGGAGCAGCGCCGGCAGCAGCTGCAGTTGCTGAAGAAGCACCAGCAGGACCAGTGGTAACAACAGTGGCAGCACCAGCAGCGCCAGCACCTGCACCAGAAACAGCAGCAGCACCGCCACCACCATCAGCGGCAGCAGCACCAACACAACCGGCAGCAGCAGCAGCACCAACACAGTCAGCAGCAGCACCAGCGCCAGCAGCAGCTACAGCGGCAGCAGCAGCACCAGCAGCAGCACCAGCGGCAGCAACAGAAGCAGTCAGAGCGAGCATGGCAGCAGGTCTAAGCAGTGCTCTGTCAGGCGCATGGGGGTCATTCCTGCTCCCTTTCTCCCGACCTGCCAGCGTCAGCAGCGCAGCATCTCTGGTGGAGGGGCAGAGCGAGGCGGGTGAAGAGAAGGATGGCGGACGAGATGGGGAGGCGGAGGTAGGGGAGATGAGTGGAGAGGCAGGGGCAGGGAAGGCAGGGAAGGGGAAGGCAGGGGAAGGGGAGGCAAGGGAGGAAAGCACGATGGGGATGGATGAGGTGAATGTGGCAGAGGTTGTAGCTGAAATGGAGAAGAAGATTGAGGATGCAGAAAAGCTTGAGGAAGGGAGTAAGGAGGAGTTAGCTTCTCAGGCTGGTGGTGGCAGCATGGATGGGGGGTGTGTGAGTGAGGTGGGTGGTGATGCTGCAGAGCGCGAGGAGGGTGCTCCCTGTGAGGATGCACGGTGCAGGGGGGATACTGAGATTGATGGGACTGATGAGACTGATGAGACTGATGGGACTGATGGGGTTGATGAGGCTGATGGGACTGATGGGACAGCACAGGGCGCTGCTCTGTCCTTGGAAATTGGGAGAGACGCTGGCAGCTATAGCTTCTCAGATTGGAGAAGAGAGGGAGGGTTGCGAGAGGAAGAGGGGCGGAGTACTGAGGAAGGGGCTGAGGAGAGGAACAAGGCAGGTGGAGTGAGAGGCGATGGGGATGAGGAGAGGGGTGAGGGAAAGGAAGGTGGAGAAGAGCAGCAGATGGAAGCACTTGCCTTTCCAGCAGACGCACCTGCAGTGTGTGTCTCAGCAGAAGCACCAACAGTGTCTGTCGCAACAGAAGCACCAACAGTGTCTGTGCCAGCTCTAACACCGGTACTGTCATTGGCTGCTCCAGGCGCTCTGCCACCCTCAGCTGCTGCTGGTAGCACTCCGCGGCTCTCTCGTCGCTCCAGCCTCCCTCCCCGTGCGCCGGTACCTGGTTGCTCGGTGGCGCCCAGGAGCACAGCAGATACACCGTCACCAGCCACATGCATGCCGGCTGCAGCAGCAAGCGCACTGACAGAAGCAGCAACCATGCCGGCAGCAGCAGCAAGTGGCAGCAAGGGTGCTGCAGACGAGCCACCAACGCCAACAGTAGCACTGGCAGCAGCAGCAACTGTGATCAACAGTGGCACAGAGGCAGCAGCAGCAGGAGGTGTGGAAGCAGCTGCTCTAGCTGCTTGCGACCCTGCAACTGTCTCTGAAGCTTCTGTGCATGAGTCGATCAAGGATGCAGAAGCAGCATCTGTTCCGCCCACCACCGCACCCGCTGCTGCTGCTGCTGCTGCTGGCCCTGCTGTAACCACATCTGGGATTGAAGCACCGCCGGCTGCCGCCGCTGCTTCTGCTGGTGCTGCTACTGCTGGTGCTGGCGCTGCTGATGCGGATGCCTCAGCAGCTGCAGAGGCAGCAGCAGCAGCGTCAGAGGAGGCAGCAGCAGCGCCAGTGCGTTCCTTCAGCTGCAACACAGCGAGCAGCAGCAGCAGGTCGCTTGCAGGCACCCCAATCAACCACCCTGCAGCAGGCACAACGGCGTCTCCCCTCTCCCGCTCGCCGTCCTTCCTCTCCCTGGCTGGCCCCTCCAGTGGTGTGCCGTCTCTGGCTTCTATTGGCAAGCTGGTGAGTGTGACAGGATGATGCATGTATACAGGCATTGGCATGCATGGTTCATGCATGTGAGCTCTGGGTGCCTTTGAGGCGCCTCAAAAGTGGCCCCTCCAGTGGTGTGCCGCCTCTGGCTTCCATTGGCAAGCTGGTGAGTGTGGCACTCAGTTGCATCCGTCCACAGGGACAAACAGTTTCACCGTCCTCTTCCGATCGCTTCTTGTCTTCGGATTCGGCTTTTTGTAGGTGTTTCCTTTCATCTCACAGACGCATCCTCCTGCCTCCTTGCTCTCCTTCAACCCATCCACCCATTCTCCTTTCCCGCCCCCGCTGCAGTACCCTCTGTCCGGCCCTGCTAGGCAGAGCGCATGTGCTCCTCCCTCCTGGCATCGGCGGCCGCATCATAGCGGTGTATGAGGACGAGCCCACGTTGCTCATCCCTCTCCTCCCCCCCCCTTCCCACCCTCCTTTTCCCCCATCCCTCCCTTCCCTTGAGCCATGCAGTACCCCCCGGCCTTGCTGGGTAGAGCACACGTACTCTTGCCGCCCGGCATTGGGGGCCGCATCATAGCGGTGTACGAGGATGAGCCCACGTCGCTCATTGCCTATGCCATCTCGTCCAACGAGTATTACCGCGCCGTGCATGGCGCCGCTGCTGCTCACAGTGCCGCTGCTGTCGCTGGTGCCACTGCTGTCGCTGCTGCCACTGCTGTCGCTGCTGCCACTGCTGTCGCTGCTGCCACTGCTGTCGCTGGTGCCACTGCTGCTCACAGTGCCACTGCTCAAAATGTCACTGGTGCTGCTGCTGCTCACAGTGCCACTGCTCAAAATGCCACTGGTGCTGCTGCTGCTCACAGTGCCACTGCTCAAAATGCCACTGGTGCTGCTGCTGCTCACAGTGCCACTGCTCAAAATGCCACTGGTGCTGCTGCTGCTCACAGTGCCACTGCTCAAAATGCCACTGGTGCTGCTGCTGCTGTCGCTAATATGTCTGCCGCTGCAGGTGGGATTGTGGGTGCGGGTGCGGGTGGAGGTGTGGGTGTGAATGTGGGGCAAATAGGGAGTGTGTTTGGGCCTGGAGTGTCGGCCATGGGGGTTGGGGGCAGTGGGAGAGTGGTGGAATCGGAGGTGGTGGGGGCGAAAGCAGTGGGCGAGCTGGTCAGGCAGGCCTCATCAGCAGCTGCAGCTGCAGCAGCGGTGGTGGCGGCGGCGGTGGCAGCGGTTGAGTTGGATGCTGCAGCAGGACGAGCAGCAGCAGACGCAGCAGCGCCAGCAGCAGCAGCAACAGCAGCAGCAGCAGGACAAAGAAATCCAGTAGCAGCAGGACAAAGAAATCCAGTAGCAGCAGGACAAAGAAATCCAGTAGCAGCAGGACAAAGAAATCCAGTAGCAGCAGGACAAAGAAATCCAGTAGCAGCAGGACAAAGAAATCCAGTAGCAGCAGGACAAAGAAATCCAGTAGCAGCAGTGGCAGCCGGAGGAGCCGATTCAGATTCAGCAGGTGCAAAAAGAGCAGCTAGAGAAGAGGCGACTTGCAGCAGTGCTGCCCCTCCAGCAGATTCACTCCCGCAGAACACCTGTCGCACCGATGCCTCTCCGCCCGGTGCTGCTACCAGGCTGTTAGAACCCGCAGCTGCCAGCACAGAGGCGGGAGCAGCAATGGATGTACAGTGCACAGGTGCAGAGGCAGCAGGAAAGGAGTCAGCAGCAGGAGAGGGAAGAGGAGTCGATCGGACCACAGGAAGGGGAGAGGGAAGTGGAGCAGAGTTGGCGAGCTCAGGTGCAGGGGTAGCAGCAGCAGCAGCAGCAGCAGCAGCAGCAGTACTAGCAGGGGAAGTGTGTGGGGCTGCGGAGGCCAGAAGCCCTGGCGGGGGAGATGGTGGAGGCGGTAGCAAGTATCGGGAGTGTAGTGGAGCTAGATCTAACGATGAGGCAGCATCAGCGGCCCATGGCAGTGGCAGTTCGACGCATAGCAAAGGGCAGAACATTGAGCCAGATGCTGCTTCAGCAGACAGTGCTGCAAGAGATGTTGCATCGTCTGATGGAAGTGTTGTTGGTGCAGAGGGGATGGGAGCGTGTAGGGGAGAGAGCGGGGATGGTGTTGGGGAAGGGGATGGCACGGATCGGGTTGGTGGTAGTGGGGTTGGGTTGGCGAGCAGGGGTGTGGAGCCAGGTAGAGAAGATAGCGAGGGAGTGGAGAGTGGTGGATCTAGGGCCGAGCTGAGAACGCCACCAGGAGCGGAGGGGGATGGTGCTAGTCCTGGTGTTGGTGTTGCTGGTGACGGTGCTGCTGCTGAGGGCAGTGGCGCTGGTGGTGGTGTTGGTGTTGCTGTTGCTGTTGCTGGAGATAGAAGTGCAAATTCCAGAGATGAGGAGAGGTTTTGCAAGGCAGACGCTGGCCCTGGGCTGTCGCAGCAAGACCATCAGCCTGCATCCTCCATGCAGGATGACTCGTTACAAGCAAAGCCGGAGACAGCAGAACAACTGCAACAAGAAGCGTCACAATCAGACTCAGAATCATCGAAATCACAGCAGGAACCTTCGCAAGCACAACCAGAAGCGTTGCAATCGCAGCAAGAACCATTACAAGCGCAGCCAGAAGCGCAGCCAGCCGGGGTTGACATAGTGCCACTGCCTGTGCCAGCCCGGGAAGAACAGGTGCCAGTGCCGTCTCAGGAGGACCCGCTTTTATCCCGGGAGAAGCGGCACGTGAAGGTGGCATTCACAGCGGGGGGGGTCGACGACGCCCTGCCCTTCCCCGCGCTGCCCTTCCTCCCCGGCCCCAGCACCAACCCCGTTGGCGCCTCTGGCACCACAGGCAGCAGCGGCATTGGTGGCATTAGTGGCATGAGCAGTGGCATGAACAGCGGCGGTATCGGCAGCGGTGCGTCGACGCCGGTGGGTGCTGGCAGCAGTAGCCGTCGCCGTGGGGTTGCTGGCGGCATCGGTGGGGGGAGCGGCTCCGCAGCATCGTTCCAGGTGACCGCATACTTCGCCAAGCAGTTTGACGCGCTGCGCCGCAAGTGCTGCTCGCCCTCCCCCCCGCTCGCCCCGGCAGCTGCCTCATCCAGTCAGCAGAAGGCTGGAGCTGACACAGGAGAAGGGACAGCAGCGGGGACAGCAGGAGCAGCAGGGGCGGCAGGCGCAGCGGCGGCAGGGGAAGGGGTGGTGGACGGGAGTGGCGATGTGGAGTTTGTGCGCTCGCTGTGCCGCTGCAAGCGCTGGAGTGCCGAGGGTGGCAAGAGCTCTGTGTATTTCGCCAAGTCTGCGGACGACCGTTTTGTCATCAAGCAGGTGGGACGACCTCTCCTGTCCTCTAGCTCTGCCCTCTCCTCGCCTCTGAGTCGACTCAAACAGGTGGGGTGACATCTCCCTGTCCTCTGGCTCTGCCATCCCTCTGCCCTCTCCTCGCCTCTGCGCTCTCCTCTCCTCCGCCTTTTTCATTCATCTTTTTTTTTAGCACTATTTCTCCTCTCTTGCTTCAACTCACAGCCAAACCCTTGTGTTTCCCCCAATCTCCCTCATCCCCGTTATAAGGTGCAACGCAAGGAGATACTAGCGTTCCTTCACTTTGCCAACGACTACTTGAAGCACCTCTTTGACGCCATCGAGCTTTCTTCTCCTAATTCAAGAGCTTTCTTTGCTCTTCTTTTCGCTCCCTCTCCCCCTGCTGCGCAGGTGCAACGCAAGGAGATCCTGGCGTTTCTGGACTTTGCCAACGACTACTTCAAGCACCTCTTTGATGCCATCGAGTCTGGCAACCCCTCCTGCCTCGCCAAGATCCTCGGCCTCTACCAGGTGCGGTCATGAGGGGTGTGTGTGGGTGGAAGATGGTAAGGCGTGGTAGGTAAGGGATTTGGAAGTTTGTGGGTCCTGCTTTTGGGATGAAGATTGCGTGTTTCTTGTTCCAATCTTGCGATTTCTTCACGAAACTCAGTCTCCAAAGGTTCTCTCTTTCACTTCCTGTAAAAACTGCCAGTCCTGACAAGTTTGTTCTTTCAGAGTAGTTTCACTCTCTGCTATCTGCTATCTGCTCTCTGCTCTCTGCTCTCTGCTCTCTGCTCTCTGCTCTCTGCTCTCTGCTCTCTGCTCTCTGCTCCCTCCTCTCTGCTCTCTGCTCTCTGCTCTCTGCTCTCTCCGCTCTGCTCCCTCCTCTCTGTGCCGTCACTTCCCATGCAGTGTGTGTCTGCAGGTGACAGCAAAGGGCGTGACTATGGATGTCATGGACATGGAGAACCTGCTCTCTGCTCTCTCCTCTCTTCGCCTTGCCTCCATCAATCCTGCTCTGCTTCCCCTGCGTGTGTCACAGGTGACAGCAAAGGGCGTGACTATGGACGTGATGGTCATGGAGAACCTGCTCTACGGCCGTCGGATCACCAAGCTCTACGATCTCAAGGGCTCTCGTCGCTCCAGATACAATGCAGACCGCTCCAAGAGCAGGGTGCGTGAGCAAGGGGCTGGGTGGGGTAGGGTGGGGGGACGTGTACATACACCTGTGGTACGGCTTTCCTCTACATGCATTTGTGATAAATCATTCCCACATTAAGTCCTCTTTTCCCCCGTCTCTTTCCCATTCTCTTCCCTCCTCCCCCTCTCTCCTCACCCCAGGTACTGCTGGACGAGAACCTACTAGAAGCCATTTCCACGTCGCCCATCTTCCATTCTCCTCTACACCTTCTCTCCCTTCCCTCCTCCCCCTCTCTCCTCACCCCAGGTACTGCTGGACGAGAACCTACTAGAAGCCATGCCCACGTCGCCCATCTTCGTGGGGAAGCGATCCAAGCAGCTGCTGGAGAGAGCCGTGTGGAACGACACTGCCTTCCTCGCGGTGAGATGAGATGGGAGTGGTTGAAGTGGTTGAGAGTGTAACACGTGGGTTGGTTAGATGTGTAACTAACAACACCACCTTTCTTGCTCTGAGACAAGAGGAATTGAGAGCGGTTGCGAGTGGTTAAGAATAGGGGGGGTTGGGTATACGTTCGCCTCAAAGCAGCTGCTGGAGACAAGAGGAATTGAGAGCGGTTGCGAATCCGGTACGAACGTAATGGTAAACTCACCACCCCTCTGCACCCCAGAAACACGCAATAATGGACTATTCTTTGCTGGTGGGGGTAGAAGAGGAGCGATCAACACTAGACTTCATCCGCCCCTACACGTGGGACAAACAGTTGGAAACGTGGGTCAAGGCGTCTGGGCTTCTAGGGGGTGGTGGGCCAGGCAAAGACTCCACTCCGACGGTGATATCTCCATCCAACTACAAGAAACGGTTTCGGAAAGCCATGCAGACTTACTTTGTGATGGTGCCGGATCAGTGGGTTCCGCGGGTGCCGGAAATTGCTACTACAGCTGCTGGTGTGGTGGTGCCCGCTGTGCTGCCGCCTAGGCTTGTGCAGCCAGGGGAAGTGGAGCAACAGCAGAAGCAGAACGAGCAGCAGCAGCAGGAAAAGCAGTAGAAGTAACAGCAGCAGCAGCAGCAGCAGCAGCAGCAGCAGCAGCAGCAGCAGCAGCAGCAGCAGCAGCAGCAGCAGCAGCAGCAGCAGCAGCAGCAGCAGCAGCAGCAGCAGCAGCAGCAGAAGCAGGTCAGCAGGTCAGCAGCAGAAGCAGGTCAGCAGCAGAAGCAGGTCAGCAGCAGTAAGTTACTTTGTGATGGTGCGGGATCAGTGGGTGCCGGGGGTGCCAGAGATTGCCACCACAACTGCTGGTGTGGTCGTGCCTGCCTGCTGTGCTGCCGTCTAGGATGGTGCCGCGTGGGGCGGAGCTGGAGCAACAGCAGCAAGAGCACAAGCAACAGCAGCAGGAGCACAAGCAGCAGCAGCAGAAGCAGTAATTGTGATTGCAATAAAGGCCACTGGGTCTGTGGTCTGTGCGCTGGTGTTGATTGCTGGTAAGCACACCCAGAGCAGGAGTAGACAAGTACCGTAAGTACGAGCGGAAACGCCGAAGGCCTCAGCAGCAGTAGATGGCAAGCAAGTCGAGCAGAAGCGGCAGGAGGGGCTTCGGCAGAAGCCATTGTTACACCACCCTGGATTGGAGCTAATTACGCTGTATATAATTGTTAACAAGGTGCCTAATGTGTCTTGTTTTTCATGCTTCAGGGTACTCGAACCAGGTAGCTGAACAGGAATCTGCACGTGTGTATTGCACATGCTATACGCATGGGCCCATTGGCACCATACCATCACTTACATCGAAGGACACAAGCAAACACGGATTTCAGTTTTTTAGTGGGTAACACCTATCATGGAGGTGGATGGCAGGATTTGGCAGGGCATGCCTTTGCCAGTGAAACTAACGTTGCCAGTTGCTGAAAGCATGCCACCAGTTGCTGGGTTTATAAAGAATCACTCACAGAAACTGATAGTAACTTAATGTACACACGGTCATGCTTCAGGCTTCAGGGCTCAGGCCAGGTGAAAGGCCAGGTGTAGCTTGTAGCATCACACCGCTTGGCACCAGTCCTGTCGAATCATATCCTGGACTCTCTCCAGCAGCACCTCATACGTCCTAGCCACCTCTATCCTTGCCCGCGACAATCTATGATATATCCTCTCATATGACCTACCCGGACCTTCCCACCCCTTGCGATAGAGTATAATATTCTGCCCACCCCAGTAGCTGGATAGTACAGATGTTCCCCCCTGCACACTTATAAAACAGGAGCTTCGGGCCATCATTCGAAACTGAACCTCATTGAAACTTAGGCTTGGCCAAGCCTCGTGAATCTGCTGCATGGTTCGGAACCGAGCCTCCGAACCAAACTCCTCAGCCAGCCTCGCGTGGTCACCCAAGTCGACCCTGTCTCCCTGCTCCGGATCCGCCCTGATCGAATTCCCGGGCCGGTTATACACCACATTATACCCCTTATCAAGAAACTCGTGCATGATTGTAACGAGGGTCGGAATGTCAATGAAATTTATGGGCGGTTCTGCCCATTCAATCTCATACTTGTTGCTTATAATCACAAGCGGAGCCCCCCCTACAGGAACATCCAGCCACACTCGCCCCAGCTCCCGTGTCCGGTGCACTAACGGCGGGGGATGCCAATACTGCGGAATGTCACTATAATGAAGGCCCTTGGTGAACCCATACTGTTTAATCACGTAGTTATAATCGTTGGAGCGTTTACAGTCTGGGTCTGTGGAGTGGTTTGGGCTGAAATAGTAGAGGAGAGAGAGGGAAGAGGCACAAGCCGTGGTGGATCTGAGAGTTCCGTTGAGGAAAAGCCAGTAGGCGTGGGGAAGAACTGCTATCAGTTCGTACCCGAACTCGCCCTTAAAGGAGATGTCTATAGCGGGGATGGAGGAGTTAGGAGGTTGGGTGGGTGAAGGGTTGAAAGAGGAATTGCAGGGGCAGACCCATGCGGGGGGGGTGTCGTCTGGGGAAGGGGGTGGAAGGGCACATGGGGATGGAAGGGCGCATGGGGATGGAAGGGCACATGGGGATGGAAGGGCACATGGGGGTGGAAGGGCACATGGGGATGGAAGGGCACATGGGGATGGAAGGGCACATGGGGGTGGAAGGGCACATGGGGATGGAAGGGGGAAGGAACATGCATTGCTTTGGTGAACGTTATTGCCAGGTCAAAGCATACAAGGAGGATGGAGGACAAGGCATGCTTACAATGTGATACATTCATATCACTCACTTGAACTACAGTTTGATGGATTGCTTGTAGGGGCAGGCTCGGAAGCAGGCTCGGTGGCAGGCTCGGTGGCATCCGTCTCAGGTACAGTGGTTGACGTTGATTCTTCTGATGAAGAAGAATCGGGCGGTGGAGGAGAGGCCTCGTCATCTGCATGGGAGAAAAACAGTGGGTTGTTGAAAAGCCTCAAGGACCAACTCATGTGCCTGAAGGTGCCTTTTTGAGTGCATGGAACCAACTCAAAAGCAACTCATGTGCTTGGAACAGAAGCCAGTGGGCTGTTGAAAATATTAAAACACCAACTCATGTGCATGGAACAGAAGCGAGTGGCAGCAGCCGCACGTTGAGAGCAACCACATGAGAATGAAAGAGAATGGAAAGGAGTGATGAGAGGAGGCGGAGAGAGGGGGGGCGGAGAGAAGAGATGGGAGAGACGGGAGGGGAGAAGGGAGAGGGAAAACGGGGAGAGTGGAGAGAGGAGAGGGGAAGGGAAGAGGGGAGAGGAAAAGGAAAAGGAAAAGGGAAAGGGGAAGAGCCCAAATCACGTGCGCACCGGACGCGGCAGCAAGGCCGATTGCGAGAGCGAGGGCAAGGAGCAGGAGGAGGACGAGCGACGAGCGACGAGTGGCGGTGCGCGACGAGCGACGAGCGACGATGTGCGACGGTTGACGAGCGAGCTGAACTGGAGAAGGCCGCGTGGCGTCAGCAGCAAGGAACCTTCCGTGAACAATCAGGCCGCACGAGGCGTTGCGCTCCTTGCCGCACATTGGGCCGCACGTTGGTCGAACGAGGCGCTGCGGATCTAGGGGAGTTTCGGCTAGATGATTTAGACGAGGCGTTGCGCTCCTATTGGTTCTTCCCAGAAACCCTTGCCGATTATGGCCGAGTCTCAAGGTAATTCGATCGAGAGGTATGTTCCGAGACGTTGCGAGCCTCGGTAAACGCTACTGCACCGAGCGGTGATGCACTAGGCGTAGTTCTGAGGCGTCTGTAAAGGCGTACAGAGTACGTACCAGCGGTTCCATTCCGGCTCAATAGCGCGGTAGGCACAACTTGTGCTTCTATGAAGCTGAGATTCTAGCGATGGCCTCTGCTCTCAACGCTTCGCTTGAGACGCCTCTAATAGGCAGAGCTTCTGGCAAGGGCCGCTGCTCTTCTTTTCGACAGACATCACTGTTCACACCCGTTCACGTAGTGTCTGCTGGAGTGGTAAGACTAACCATGAGCTCAGGAAACCTAGGTGGACGAAAAAGGACTGAATAAGGACCTGAGACGAACTGACGCAGACTCGGGGAGGAGAACGGTGAAGTAGGACCCATGCGAAAATGGCGACAGACCTTTCTGACCAAGGGACGTGCGGAATTGAAATGTGAGAATGGGTTGGAGAGTGGAATGGTGAGGAGGGGCGAAGTAAGATTGGGAGGGGTTCGGTGTAAGTGCCTGTTCAGAAATCCAGTCGGCCTCGCGGCGCGTTCTGTGCAATCTTGAGCAGTTCATGCTTGATAGACTGTAAGTGTGGTACACGCAAGTGTAAACACTTAAGACCTTACTGCAATCTTTTTTATATACACAGATAACAGCACAGCAAGATTGATCACCCCCACACAGCATGTAACGCATGTGGCCAATAGGCGGTTGATGCGAACTAACTGATCCGTCTTAGACCTGTTGCGCATATCCCCGGGAATCCGAGCCGCAGCAGCAGCTGTGGGAGCAGCTTCGGGTCGACTCGACAGGCCTCTACAGAATTCCATCAAAACCACTCCCTAGGCAGAGCCAATATATCTTATCATCATCCACTTCTGCTGTCAGTTTTTGGAGATTCTCAAAAGCAGCTGCAACAGCTGCTTCGGGTCGACAGGCTTCTGCAGAATGCCATCAAAGCCACTTGCAAGGCAGCGCAGAGTGATTTCACCATCCACGTCTGCTGTGAGTGCCACTATGAGTAGTCGAGGGATGGTGGGGGTGACTGACGCGTGCGTGCCTAATTGTGTGGCTTCTGTTGCTTCTCTGGGCGTTGCTTCTGGTGGGGATGTGGGATGAAGAAGCAGGGCTTGCTCGTGTGCTCGTATGGCCTCTGTGGCTGCGAACCTGATGGGGAATCACAGCAAGGCAATGCGGCAGAGGCATGGGAGTGGAGAGAAAGAGGTTTGAGATGGATCAGAAGTTGTTCGTGTGCGCGTATGGCCTCTGGCTGCAAACCTGAAAGGGATACGTTGATGTAGAGACAGGACCAGCGATAGAGAGCACGGGGGTTGATGTTAGAGGAGAAGCATGCAACTGGGCAGACACGACAGGCAGTCAAAGTGATAAGTGGGGCATCCACGCATGCATTCATGTGACTCACCCGTCCATGAGGGGCACGTGCAGGTCGATGAGCACCACATTCCCTACATGTGATGTCCACCTTTCTATCTCTCACATTCATAATCGTAAACGACCCACTGCCCACAGCACGACTCACCCGTCCATGAGGGGCATCTGCAGGTCCATGAGCACCACATCAACATGCCCGGCCATGTCCATCGGCAGGGCACCCCCGTGTAGAGCCTGCTGGGCTTGCCTTACAGCCTCCTCTCCGCTGCCTGCGGTGACGACGCTGGCGCCGCTGCGAGTGAGAGTGCGGCGCGCCACCAGCAGATTCACCGCCGCATCGTCCACCACCTGGAGAGAGGGCAAGCTTGGGGCAACAAGGGAGGGAAGGAGAGTTGGACCGACAGGGAAACGACAGGGGCCGGCCGATTTGAATAAGATTTTGCAGCAAACTGCTTTTGAGGCGCCTAGAAAATCGTAAGTGAGTGCGGTGAACCATCAGACGACGAAGGTTTGCGGTGTACCGCTCTCGCATGCACTAAGCAAGGCTGCACAACCAGGCAGCGAGTGAAATGGCAGGAGAAAGAAATAGAGGGGTCGGGAAAACGGGGCGCGGGTTGCATAAAGGATGAGAACGGGTTAACACGTGCTTGGCAAGAGGAGCACACAAGATGTGCTGGTTGTACCATGATTCTCAGCCCAGCTAGCAGACTCTTCCCTTCTCCCCCTCCTCCTGCTGCTGCTGCTGCCACCCCTCCTACTCCTGTGGTTGCTCCCTCTACTGCTGCCCCTCTCCTTGCCGGCCCTCCACCTCGACTCTCCCCATCGATGAAAGAAACCCTCTTTCTGCTGTTGGTACTGGAACTGCCAAGGCCAGCACCACTGGAAGCATCAGCGGGGATAGCAGCAGGCACAGCCGTAGCAGCAGAGGTTGTAGTCAGAGTGACTGCTGCAGCTGGTGTTCTTGGTGATGTCATGGCAGCAGCAGGGCCAAGGGCAGCTGCAGGGGCAGTGGCAGTAGCAGTAGCAGCTGCACGGGCAGCAACAGAGGCAGTGGCGTTGGCAGTAGCAGCTCTGGCTGCTGGCTGAGATGCCGCAAGGTGGGAAGAAGGTTGGTGGTGCAGGCGGTGTTGGTGAAGGAGTATGGTCTGGAGGAGAGGAGTGAGGGGCGACGAAGGTGAGAGGGAAAAGAAGTGGGACGAGAGGTGAATCATGAGAAGGTGGGTGGTGCAACTGTTGCGGCAGTGCTGGTGTGGAATTATGTTTTAGGTGAGGCGGACCAGAGGGAGGAGAGGGTGGAAAGGGAGGAGAGGAATGAGTGGGAAGAAAGGGCGGAGAGAAGGGGGTGAGCGGGTGGAAAGAGACCCTAAACAAGAGAAGTGACAGAAAGATCAGAAGTGCGATAATTCACACAGTCGTAGGAGACAAGAATGGCAGGTGGCAGCGTACCTGAATGGCAGAGAGCAGGTGGTGGGAGAAGAGAGGCCGCTGACACAGCACCACTGGAACCATGCATTTGCCACCCACAACCGCTTCCTCCAGAGTGCTTTCACCTCTCTCCTTCAGATTGTTTTCACGCCCTTCTGCGATATTGCTTTCATCCCTATCCTCGATACTGCTTTCAAGCCTACTTATACAAGTTGACTTTTGAGTCGACTCAAAAGTCAACTCGCTTTCAAGCCTACTTATATGATGGCCATCAATACCCTCCTCCTTGGAATCTCCATGCGTGGTCGCCTCTTCAGAATCGCTCTGCCTGTTGGTATCGGCATCAGCATGAGCATGAGCGTCAACGTTGACAGCAGCAGCATCGGCGCCACCATTAGCATCGGCGCCACCATTAGCATCGGCGCCACCATCAGCATCGGCAACACCATTAGCATCGGCACCACCAGCATCAGCATCGGCAGCAGCAGCAGCATCAGCACTACTGCCATCACTGCCATTAGCACGTCTCTGTCCATCTGCCATGCCTACCCCCTGCTGCTCCCCTCTGCCTTCACCACCAACAACTCCCTTTCTATTTTCCGTGCCCTCGTCGCCCCCTTCACTACACCCCCCTTTCGCTACAAGCACCACTATGCCAGACAGGGCCGGGCTGTGCATTGGCGTGGAGCACAAGGGACTGCAGTCGTGCAGTTTGCCTCTCCTGTAATCACTTGTGCTGCACACAACTGTGCTATTCTGCTCTTGCTGCTCTAGCTCCACTTGCTGCTGCTGCTGCTGCTGCTGCGGCGGGTGCTGCTGCTGCTGCTCTTGCTGCTGCTTGTGCTGCTGCTCTTGCTGACGCTGTGGCTTTTGCTGCTTCTGTTCCGCCAGTTGAGAAAAGGCCTCTCTAAACCTCTTCAGGCCAGCCTCCCCACTCACTACCACCACCAGCTGCTTCCCAGACAACTTAGCTAAGTACTGGTGGGAGTGAGAACGGGAAGACCGCTGGTGGCAAGCCTGGAAACCAGCTATGATGGAAGCTGCTGCCTGTTCATCATTCACCAGCAGCACCGATGTTCCTAGGTGTGTCAACACACAGGCAGTCAGCTGGTGGAGGGGGGGGGGAGGGAGAGAGGTAGCAGGCACAAAGGGGAGAGGCGAGTGTGGAGGAGGGTTGGCTGTCCGAATTCGCAAAAACTGCTTGTTCATCGTTTGCCAGCACCACAGATGCTCCTAGGTGTGTCAACACACGGGCAGTCAGCTGGTGCGGGGAGAGGGGGGGAGAGAGGCAGCAGGCACAAAAGGGGAGAGGCGAGGGTGGAGGGCTGGCTGGTGGAACAGAGGCACCAGATACTGCGGCTAAGAAGCGAGCTGCTTCCAGTTCATTGTTTGCCAGCATCACGGATGCTCCTAGGTGCGTCAACACACAGGCGGTCAGCTACTGGAAAAGAGAGACAGTAGACACACAGGGGAGAGGCGAAGGAGACATGGGGGATATTGGCTGGTGGAAAAGTGGAACCAGATACACCGGGTTAGTCCGGAGCTGCTGCCTGCTCATTGTTAGGCACAGCAGCAGCACGGATGCCCTTAGCTGTGTCAACACACAGGCGGTCAGCTGGTGGGGGCGAGCATGTTGCACCTCAGAGCAAGGGGAGTGGCGCAGCTGCAGGTAAAAAAGCAGAGGAGGACGAAGCAGCCGTTCACAGAGGACGAGGTGGAATAGCTGGTGACTGCTGTGGAGGAGATGGACACTGGCAGGTGTGCCTCCTCACCTCAGCACCCCCACTCTCAGCCGGTGGGTGCGGGGGAGAGTGGGGGTGCTGAGGTGAGGAGACACCCACCTGCCAGTGTGCAAGTTACCTACCTTTGCTCTCTCCGGCTGGCCATCCGCCACCACCACCAACACTCCAGAGAGGTCCGAGAAGTGCCCCCCCATGTGGCTGCCCATCATGGTCCCATGGTTCCCCCCCACAACCACCCGCGCTGCATTGCTACACTCCACATGACCATGCATTTTCACAGCCACCAAGCCAGCTTCAGCCACAGCAGCAGCAGGAGCGGCAGCAGGAAACACGGCTTTTGAAAGAGGCAGGTTTGAATGAAACAGGTTGATCTGGTGGAGGGCTGTTGAAGGAAGGCTTGTCTGGGGCATTCTTGGTGGGGCTGATAGAATTGGTATGGCGAGGGTGAAAGTTGTCCCTGTAACAGGGTCGACCTTGCAGCTCATGTCACCCTTCATTAGAGTCACCTGCAGTCATACGAACACAGCAGTGGAAGGTCGAAGACCAGATACACTTGATTTGAGCAAAGAATTGGGCTCCTAAAGGGGGGGGGACCAGAGCTTTAAAGGCCAATGTTTCGCAATAGACAGGCCCTCTTTCACCAGTTAACTTCTGAAGAGAGAAAAGAAAGAAAGAAAGAAAGAAATAAAGAAAGAAAGAAAGAAAGAAAGAAAGAAAGAAAGAAAGAAAGAAAGAAAGAAAGAAAGAAAGAAAGAAAGAAAGAAAGAAAGAAAGAAAGAAAGAAAGAAAGAAAGAAAGAAAGAAAGAAAGAAAGGAAGGTATAAGAACTATATTTTTATTTCATCTACGCATTTCACTGAAGGTGCCTTGTAAAGAGGATCCTTATCTTACCAGTTGCTTAGCCAACACGAGGCTGAGCTTAGCAGCAGCTTCCTCAGCTCCCTCCTGTAGGCTACGCATCTCCTGCACGCATGAACACACACACACACACACACATGAAGTCCTTGGTGATGTAGGGTGTTTTTGAGAAGTCAAGACCGGCTTTGAGCACCAAAGCAGCACGCATGCATGGACTCTCTCAAGACATGTGTTGAAAACTGGGCTTCAAAAGCAGGAGCAAAACTATGTGCTCACCTCAAATCGGAACATGAATCCATTCATGGTCTCACTGTTGTCACACCCGCTATGCTCACACGTCACCACCAGATGCATCATCCCCCCTGCTGCTGCTTTCCTCCCCCCTGTGTAGTCACAGTCACCATCCACGTTGACTGTATGGTTAGTACTACCACCCTTAGTACGGTTACCACGCATGTCGCCTGTACAGTTACCACTAATCCAGGGACCACGAAGGCTGCACAGTCCTACTCCTCTACAGTCACATACACTACTGCTGCTGCAATATCCTGGCCGTTTTTGCGTATTGAGGCTATTGCGTGCGGGCATAGGTGGACAAAGTTTCTGCTCTTCATTGCACAGCCCAGCACTACCAGCAACACAATCCGCCGCTGCTGCTGTGTCAGCATCCCCTTTTACAGTCACACCGTCTGAGTCTATCAGTGTAGTCACCCTCGCGCTGCTAACTGCTGCATAGGACACTGCATTGAAGGATTGATCACCAGAGAAAGGGCGAACAGGACGGGCATAGAGCAGAGAGAGAATAGACGACTCAGGCCTTCAGTAAAAGCAAAGCTCCATTCGTGAGTGCATCAAGAGTCCACTTTTGAGTTGACTCAAAACAAACATGGGTTCTAAAATTTCTGAAAAAGAAAACGAAAACAAGCTGAAGGCAGGTGAGGATGATAGATAGAACCTTCTCACTCACCGTTCCACTGAGCCAGCTGAGTCAAGGCCACGTCAACATCTGCCACAGCCACCCGAACCAGCACGTAGCCCCCTTGCGGCGTGAACGACAAGGCATAGTCTGCAGTGGGGGGTGGGAGCAGGAGGAGAAGGGAGGATGGGACGGGAGAGAATTGCTGTGGTGAGACGACTCTGCAGAAGCCAGAGCTACCCCTGTGACAAGGGTGGGCCAAGCCAACTGATGCAGCATGACTCATGAGCACATTCCCATGCTGACATGAACAGGAGCGCTGACATGAACAGGAGCGCTGACATGAACGTTAGCTGGCCGGCAAACTAGGCCAACTGATTGAACAGAGGTGACAACATGAAACCGAGCTGAACAGACACCCATCCATAACTTCACATGAGAGACTGAACAGCTGCACCAACAATTCAGAAACTCAAAGCTGAACAGATGTGTCGAGAAGTAAGTGAGCTGAGGAGACACCCACCCATGACTTGAGATGGCGAGGCGCAGCTGATCTCCCACCAGCTGCTGCGACACTATTTTTTAGGTGCCTCGAAAATAAAACTGAACAGATGCGTGGATATGTAATTGGATGTGGGCTGACAATACAAGACACCCACCCATGACTTGAGAGAGCGCTTGGGCGAGGCGCAGCTGATCTCCCACCAGCTGCTGCGGCACACTGGCATCCACGACTGCTGCCACTGCTCACATGCATGCACGCATGCTCTCATCTGCTCCACCTGAGAATCCTTCTCAGGCAGGTGAGATCCCCTCTCCAGCAGTGCCTCATCCCTCTCCGTCTGCTTAATACGCTACATGAACAGGATAGGAAGATGTGTAAATCCAGAAATTAGGGCTCAGGTATGTCCATTTTGAGTGGAACCACTCCCTTCCACCCAACCCCACCATACTAGCTATATTGATTACGCGCCTTGAAAGTCCGCCCCAGCACACCCACCCATCCACCCACCTGCACCACACTTGGTAGCGCCTGGGCCCAGCAATTGGCAGCGTTAGGTTCACGATTGCCCGCTTCTCCCACACGCGCAGCACCGAGGGGGCAGCGGCAGCAGAGGGGCGACTGGCTGGCCCGGCTGCGGCTGGAAGAGCAGTGGCGTGGGGCCGGCGAGCAAGAGCGGAGAGGAGGGGTCTGTCGTGTCGTAGAGCTCAAATGAACGGTCAGAGCCTGAATGGGGAGCGGGGCGAGGAGTGGAGGGAAGGCCAGATAAGAGGGAGGATGAGATTCCTGATAGCATGCTCTGCAGGATGGCAGTGAGGTTATTTTTTTAGTCGACTCAGAAATAGACTCATTACAGACGGGTGTGAGGTTGACAGTTGGCACATGCGATCACTGTTCCCCCGCTGTAACAGAGCCCAACCATCAGGCGCAGGCAGAGAGAGCTACTCACGTGCAGATGGGGTGGAAGACGAGAAGATCTCTGAGAGCACGCTCTGAACGACGGCAGTTAGGTTGATGGTGGTGGTCAATGCTCCCACCACTGCTGCCTGTGCCTGCTGCTGCTGCTGCTGCTGCTGCTGCTGCTGCTGCTGCTGCTGCTGCTGCTGCTGCTGCTGCTGCTGCTGCTGCGAGGGGGATAAGGAAGGAGGCCGCCACAGCACTGGAAACACCACCCCTGGCATGGAGATAGGGAGGAAAGAGGTCGAGGAAAATGGAAGGAAGAAGGTGTGGTGGGTTGATCTGGAGCGAACAAGGAGGGTGGGATGGGAGGAAGAAATGCAAAGAGGGACTAGAGGGAATAGCAAGCTCAGGTTGGTTAGTTAAAGCCATTGAATGCAGGTTGGCAGAGAAGAGCTTACCCAGGCCAGGAGTGCTAGTGGCAGTGGTGGTGTCAGTAGCGAACAAGTGGGCTGCGGAGGTCTTATTTCCATCAACTTGAATGGTTCTTAGAACGACGGAACAGACCTTATGAAATGAATGAAGACAGTAGCCTGGTTAACTGTGAGCTAGAACGTTTTCTTAGAGAGCCAGATTGAACAAAATCGTCAGCTTAAATTTGAACATGCGTTAACTAGTTTCGGTTCTTGGCAGAGAAGAGCTTACCCAGGCCAGCAGTGCTTGTGGCAGTGGTGGCGTAGGGCAGCGTGAACGACTCCTTGGCTGAGGCACGCACAAGAGCAAGCTCCGAGGGGAAGGCCTGGAGGGCGTCTGAGAGGAGAGCGGCCCCTGACGCACTGTCTACGTCCAGGACCTGGAGAGTGGGGACGGAGGCGAGGGGGGAGCAGTGGGTGGTCAGCGTGGAGGTGGGGCGGGACGGAGCGAATGCCTCCTTGGCAGAGGCGTGCACTAGAAAGAGCTCCGAGGGGAAGGCCTGCAGGGCGTCTGAGAGGAGAGGAAAG